ACGTATGAAAATGAGAAAAAAGAAAGCGCCCCGCAATAAAGTAGTCCGAGACACGTTAATAGAGCATTAAAACGGTTTACGTGTATTGCTGCAATTATTTAAAGCGAGCAACAACATCAATAAGAGCTTCCAGCATTTTATCGAACCCGCATATGCGTCCATTTCTGGAGATCTGCAAAACGATTTCGCTCGAAAATGAAAGAGGATATGCCATCATTTTCTCGAATGATTTGACGCTAAAAATCGCCGATGTGCGGGTAAAGATGAATTTCTGCGATATTCGCACTCCCTTTATAAAATGGATTCTGATGATTTAATTACTTTTGACCGAGTTCTTGATAATCCCAGATACTTTTTGTTTGAAGAAAAAATCAAATTTGCAAGAAAAAATGCGACACTTACCTTAATTCGCCAAGATGGTTATCAATGATTTAATTGTTTCTGCTGCATGATCTGATGAATGTAAAAGTTAAGCTTAAGTGAGAGCTGAAATACAAAATAATATATTTTTTAGAGTACAAGAAGTAATTAAAAACGACCACACTGGCAAATTTTATTAAAGTGAATCACGACGTTTCGACCATGGTTTTGGTCCTTTTCGAGTGAACTACAAAAAATTATTTCCAGTATTACACAAAAAAATAAATTACATTGATTTTGAAATAAAAAATGAGCGGCAAGTTAAATACATACAATAATTTAGTTAACTATTCTATCGTGAGAAATAAGGAAATCACTTCGTCAAGATTGTCATGTCAACCGTTTCCATCAACACACAGAGAAAGACTAGACAACCTTTATTAGTCTATCATAAATATTGTTTAAATTTTCAGTGTCCTTTTGTAAGTTGATCGTGTTGTCAAACTTTTTTATAAAAAACATTTCGGCGATTTCTCTCTTTCTCATGTGTTTCTCATTATGTGATTTACTTTAATAAAATTTGCCAGTGTCATCGTTTTTAATTACTTCTTATATTTTATTTACTGACGACCTTAAAGAGTTTAATGTTATATTTTTTAGAGATATAAAAAAATGAAATAATGTTAAACTCCGATATTAATCAAAAAAAGGAAACGTTCCGGAAAAGGAATCCGAGATTAAATGTTTTAGGCGTCGCTAATTAGCAGTATTATTTTATTTATATATGCATTGCGTAACACACTTAAAAATACAAATACATCGAATTTATAGACAATATGCGCATGTTCCGCCTTCTTGCTTTAAGTTTAAGCTGTTCATTTACTTCTATCGCATAATCATAACCATCTCTTTTTTTCTGATGTTACGATCATTATCATTATCATTATTGTGTTTGCCCTTGACACACAATATATTTCTCTACGAATCGTTAAATAAATAACTACAACAGTCAAAATTTATTAAAATGAATAAATAGAGAGATAGTGTATACTAGATCTCCTCTTCTTAATTCCAGGCCTTATTACAACCTGATTAAACTAAATAAGAAACACAATGTATTATTAAAATTTCATGTTTTTTTATATATTTCAGCAATGTCTAATATTCATATTTATTTGATATAAGCAGTCAAAATAAAAAATATGAAATCCATTGCGATTTTGCAAATCAATCTTCATATTAAGATATTAATATTAATGTACTTTGTTTTTAAATTACACGATGCAAATTATGACAAATGTTCAATTCGTATCATATATATATGTATGTATTAAATTCTGAGCACTTCAAATAAACGTTATTCATATGCGAGAATAGCTTTGCAGTCACATATACGCAATCGGTAAAAATTACTCTTAGATAAATTATTCGATAAAATATTTCAACATATGATATTTACTATCGGTTACTAAGGAAAGCTATCTCAGTAGGTTTTCTAAAGAAACTCACGAAAACTTATTAAGTATAGACTAATATTTAAAAAAAAAAGATCCTCTCAATCAATTAACGAATAATATTCGTATATCGATCAAGATGTTTTTCTTCTTTTTGCAAAAAAGGCACATTGTAACGAGAAAAATAGAATGATCCTCCTATATACTAAATATCTCTATGTTAGCATATATATGTCAAGTATTAAATATTACTTTTTATCGATCATTTCAGCCAAATAAATGACTTCCTAAGAAAAAGAGAAAAAACAACAATCAACAATTACTTTTTTTTTTTTTTTTTTTTTTTTTAGAGAGCTGGTTACACAGAAAATTAATCGCGAATTAGTCTCTCCATTATATACTTATGCAAAAAATAGATATCACGAACGATAAATATATACGTATGTATGTGTGTATGCGTATGCACGTATGCATATATGCGTACATATATAAAGACCAAATTAATTGCTGACACCAATAATCTAAGATTATATTTTATTATTCGCTAAAATGTGCGCGCGCATTTACCTACACGGCACAAATATATTCTTATCTATGCAAAAGAGATGTACATCTCTAGCAAATACATCTATCTAGGATATCGATTACATTATATAATTAAGAGTGATTTTCTTTAAAAAAATATGGCGATAAAATATAACATTTGCAAAATTAAGAGCGAACCTGCTATGAGCAATTCGCGCGATGTCTAACATCTGTGAAACTGTCGAATCTCTAAAATTGTTTATTAAAAGTATATTAAATGACGGTCGACAGATGGGATTCCTCTAGTAAAATGTGCGAACATTAATATTCAAAGTACAAGACGTGCAATGCATTACGGCAAAGTACATTTTATTAAGTAAAAATATTACGTTTTAATTAAATTATTGATTAAATAAAGCCTTTCTTTCAATAGAATTGTTCAAATGCTTCACGAACGAAAAAGAAGACCACCGAGTTCAAATCATTAATGTGGTTATTTTAATTATCAGTTTTGCAAAATCTAATTATAATTATTTAAAACTCTTCATAAGAACAAACAAAAATCTATTTTCTTAGTCTCTCTCTCTCTCTTTACAATAATTAAAATTATAAGAAAATTATATACATAGCCACTCGATTTCAAAATTTCTCAAGATCTATGAAGTGCTCTTTTTGACAGAAGATGAATGTTATACGTCTTAGATAATTTCAAATAATTTCACATATTACATAATTCTTTGCAAAAAGTGCAGATATATTCGTACATACTTAGCCGAGACGAACGTATGCAAATACATGTGCCAACGTACAAACATATTGTACAAACATGCTATACATGCGAGCGTTAATGCACGCGAGCTTGTACAACGTACGTCGTTTATGGCGATTATTGCTGATACTGCACGATTTCGCGACATTCTATGATGAATATCGAATATGTATCAAACCGAATGAATATGAACAATCAAAAATGAATATCGGCAAATGAGCGTAAAAAAACATTAATACAAAAGAAAGCGAAATGTAATTAAACGAAAATGTAATTAAAAAAATAATTAAAATTTGTTCGACAATGTCATAAATCTTTTCATGTATATGTTCCATCAAATACGACAAAAAAATTAGAAATTATCATTACAACAATCTATCATCTAATTCAATTCGTTCCTCTCCATTCGTTTCCTTGACTATTCCCTTTAAAATGATAAGAAGGATAAAAATTGTAGTCGCGTTTCCACACATATATAATCCGCGTCAAGACGAATCGTCTTCAATTAAAAATATGTAATTTTCCTTAATAAACACATTATCGAAAATTATAGGATATCGGTTGTCGTTCGAATAAATCGTATGTCAACTGCATGTTTGACATCTGATACGTCTCACTTAACAAAAGATTCGAAGAAAAAATATATATTAATATTTATATTTCATGTAACATATTTTGCGATGGTCAATTAAAAATCAATTGTCAATCTACTGTTATGGTGTTTGTAAAAACTTTCTCTATTCGCAAGGCGGAAGTAGAATAATGTTTTTACGCTCGAATAACTGCGCTAGAAATGATACGTCTTCCTTCTAGTACGATAAAGTGTAAAAATAGAATAAAAATGTTACCATGGACTATATATTGGAATTAATTCTAATATAAAATTTCTAATGTTACTAAACGAGTAACAAATATATAATTCCATCAAGAGACATAGTATCTTGAATTATTATATATATGCGAATGGCGAAAGGAAAAATAATTATAAGATAAATTTTCGAATAAAACCTTGCGCATCCACAAAAGTGATTAATATGTAAATTAATTTCTCTGTTGCAAATTAAGCAAGGCGATAAATTCGATGTAGCGCAACGTGCATGAAATGTAAATTCATTTACGGAAACAAGTCATTAAGATCTACAATAATATCCAATTCAACTATGCATCAAATTGTTATTCAGAATATGTTTCAAACGCGAAGCAAAAGAACCGGAGATATAGAGAGAGATAAAGAGACATTGACAAAAAAAGCAAGCAAAAGAAAATGAGACTGCATATCGAAGAGAGTTTTTCGATGCTCTTATTTGTATATTAATTTGCCGCGAGCTGGAATGACCAGTTTTTGAGCGGCTATTTTATTGCATCTCATCACACGACTGACACATCCACAGATTATGCGAGCAGATGCATTTGCGTATATACAGCAAGTTTTAATTATTAAAAGACGTAAATGGTCGATAAATCATTGAACGGTGCGAAAATAAAATTTTAATATGTATAACACGCGATGTCTTGGGATCCATTTTTTCGTATTAATTACTTCGATACTATTAAATTTTAAAAAAATTCGTTCTTGAGCATCAGACAAAAAGCATATTTTAGAAGGAAATACTCTGCTAAATACTCTGCTAAAGAGATTTTATATAAAAATCCATCATTGACAGAGTTCTAAATCTTAAATAATTAATCAAATATATAATTAAATAATTAATAATTAATAATTAATAATTAAATAATTAATCAAATTGTAAATTTCTTACCGTACACAGAGCTGCACGTTTCGTACCATCCAGTAACATTTAACAATATATGAATTAAGAAAACAATATTTGCGATAATCAATATACATATATATATATATATATATATATATATATATATATATATGTGCTATATTAAGGCAAGAAAAATCACCACAATTCCTTGATGAATTCGATTAGTATCGCCGTCGCCATCGTCCTTGATGTCCGGTTTTCCACACGCAATTGGCGAAACGTATTGCATTGATAAAAAAATCTGCAAATAAAACTGTTGTTCGCGATCAGATAGATTCTTCAGCGTGATTTATCTTGACACGTTTATAATCGCCCAAATAGAACGATGAGTTCGCTATCTAATTTCGCTATTCTTGCTCCAAATTTAATATGACATGCGGACACGCGAAAAAGGGACTCATTAAACAAGAACGAGTGATAAGGAGAGTCAAAAGCGTGACAACATATTACGATCTCTCGTTCTTCAGGATCTTGCTTAATCAAACTTGCAGAGAAATCATACATAGAGAAATAACTGGAAATTCCTCACTTATCGGAGCAATTAAAGAATCACGACTATGACGCCAATACAATCGATGATCAAGACTAATAAAGGACGGAAAACGTGTCTGGAAACGTCCCTTGGAATTCGACGGCTTTCTCGTGACAAAAAGCATTCGATTCTCGATTTCAGCTTCGATTTGCTCAGTTCATCGAATATACATAGCAACGTTGATGCCTCGAGATGTCCGAAATGACCTAACACCGATTAAAAATTCCTTAAGTCCACCGCTCGTCTTGATAGCCGTCTTATCACTTCGGAGACGACGCGATTTTCTTTGGATTTGACATGTTTTTCTTCTCGATTTAATTTATTAGACATCGGTGTTCGGTCTGAAAGCAAAATTGAAAAAACTGATTATATTAGTAGGAGACATTTGATTATTTTAGTATAAGACATTCATATATATATTCTATTTCTCTCGTTAAAATCATTTAAATTAAACTGAAAATTAATGCTATCTCATCAATATTATGTATTATTCTGCATAGTTTCTAAGGTCCAGAAAGTGTAAAGTAATTCTATCGAAAATGTAAAAAGATATAATATGTAATATAATATGTAATTTTTATATTCTCTTCGATCAAAAAATTCATTATTTTTAAACAAACAGTACTATTAGTTTAACTATGATCATTTTTTAATTAATTTAGCATAAAAAGTCGTAAATAATTTTGTAATAAGCACTAAGATTAAAGTGCTATCTACGACAAGAAGATGAAGAATATTTTAATTGTCGTTTATTTATATTGCTGTGTAAAATTTCTTTCTACAATTTTCTCTATGCCCAAAGAAAAGAAAGAGAAATTGTAAATTTCTTAAAAATTTATAATGATAGATGAATTATAGAAAACTCGAACCAATTGTTCGATGTAAACGGGAACATATATAATGTGAAAGAAATACCGAATTATGGAATATACCAAAAACCATCAACTTGGAAACGAAATTAACGAACGCCGTGTCGACTTATCCGGCGGATATTAAATCGGGACATTTCTCATTCGAAAAGTTTTCTCGTAGAGAGATGAGCGACGTGAGGAAACTTACCGTGATGCTTTAAAGATGCGTCAGATGACGAATGCGAGAGGAGATGGACAAACAGTACACGTCCTCTGTCGTAAACGAAATCCACGACGAAACGGCGGTAAGAAAGGAAACGGATAAGAAAGACAGACGAGGATCATGGCAAAGAGAAGGAGCAAAAGACGAGGAGAGGAGGATATATTATGTTCGCTAAAGCAATGTTATACCAACTCGAGAACTGGCGAACTAGCCGACAGTAAAATCCGTTTTATGTCTCCCTCGTAAAGCCAGTCAAATGAAACCCGGACTTAGTTTTCATACGTGCATCCACCACGGACTCGGTTTCCTGCCCACCATGGTGGAGAATCGTGACAGACTTTTTCAAAAGTCTAGACACATTGGTGCCTTCAGACATCTCTGTTAAATTAATTTTATTTGTTGAAAACCGCTCGATAGCTTCTCTGGCAACAAGTTATCTGACGAAACAATTTCGTTTTTTTTTTACCTTTGTGTTTTCAACTTCGCAGGGAAATATTATCCGAAAAGATCTCAAAAGTCTAAATTTAAGTCAATTGTGGAAATAAAATATTAATAAAAGATTATACGTTACAATAATAAAGATACCTCTCAAAAAAATACCTCTCGTTTTTCCTAATCTATATATATGTTATAGATAATAAATAATAAAAATAAATAATAAATAAAAATAATAAAAAAATAATAAATAAAAATAAATAATTAAGAAAAAGGAAATATTGTAGATACACAAAAAATCGATATCAGCGATGTATAACCGTGTTGATAACAAAATTAAAAATCTGACACGTCGTATATTTCGATTAAGACTTCTATCTTATCTGAGAGATACACGATGCCACGTAACTTGTAAACAAAGAGCAGTGCAAGATAGACACTAAAAAGCTTGACCAGGCAAAATATCGTCCGGTACTAAAAGCTGGTCGTGTCGTAAAACACGTCGCGCACACATAATGTCTCGAAAGCGTAGTAGCGATAAAGGCCCAATCCACATCACGAAAAATCGACTTTGAAAGGATCTTTGTTAGGTACCACGAACTCCTTAAGAAGAGGTATCGTTTTAATCGGCTCTTTTGTTTGTCGATATTGCCGCGTCTAAAAGAATCGTCGATAATCCTTAATCCTGATCCGATTAGAAGAAGGAATATATGAGAGATGAATGCGTATAAAGTAGGAATCAAAATGACAGTATGTAACTTAAAAATATCTTAAATTGTTAAATCAGGTAACAGTAACAATGTAAAAAAATTAAAGAAAAAAATATCCCATAAACAAAGAAATGTCACGAGAAAGATTGAAATTATTTGTTCTGTTTTGACATTAGTTCCATCAACGTTTACACGAATACTAATCAGCTGATGATGTTCAAAATATTATTTCTACTCATAAAACGATCAGACAGTTATTCTGATGCATCATCTCAAAAGCGAGACCAGTGTCGATCGTTTTGCAACAGATAGATCTCCTTATTTCACTCTGACTCGAAGATTTACTCCTTTTCATGGAGCTTTAACCGTTTGTACCGGAGTCCTTTTTTACGAGGTTCGTCCGAGTGCCAGTCACTTTGTTAAGTACATGTATCTATAATGACACGACGAGTATAAGGTCTACTTGCATTAAGTGGATGCGAGCTTTTAAGAGAGAATGTTTGACGACGGATTGCGAATGTACGAGTGCAGGTTTTCTTTACATAAGTTTTTGAAGCACGATGAAACGAAATGCAATTGAACGTCTCCTTATTATAAACATGACGTTTTTTACATTCATTTTAATATGTCAGTATATTATGCGACTAGTTATGTATTTTCATAAAAACTATAATAGTCTACTTTACGTCAATCGTTTGATATGCGTATCAAATAGTAAAAAAACTAGTAAATTGGTTTAGTCTCTCACTGGCTGATTAATTGAATGTACTACTTAATATAAGTATCAAACGATCGGTATAAACTATAATCATCATATGTTTCCAGGAATAAAAATACTGACATAATTATCTTGCGCAAACCGCATGCATATATTATATAACATACTATATAAAATTATATAATAAAATTCTATTATGTAAATATAGAACTGATATCTACATCTGAAATTAAATACAATTTCATTATTATAATAATAAGAATAATAAACATAATGATGTAACAATAATTTAAAAAAAGAAAAAAATTTCGATGAACCATCGATATAATTAATGTTTTTGTTATTTTCGAAAGACATTCTTTTCTCGGGAAAAGAGAAAGAGAAAGATTGAGGTGTCTCGTAAAAATATGATTTATAACCTCGTATAATCTTGCGATGATCCGCGCAATTTTCGCACTTGATCGATTTGGCGGGCCTTATTGAAGATTAATAAACGAGTAGCTTGAAAATACTTCTTTTTGTGTGAAAAAATATGAAAAATTTTTTTACACATTTTGAATTATATTAATTGAAGATTAATTCTTTCATGTATTTTATATATATATGTTCTTTAATGTATTTTCAATGATTACAAAATAATTAATACGAGAATAACATAAAAAACCAATCATTGATGAAATAAATTTCATTCAAAAGCTTTTAGCTAACGCTAAACTAGTTTTGTGTTTTTTATGAAAGACTGATTATTAAGCGATTTTTTCAGACTTCTTTCTCAATTTTGAAAAGATCTACATACGGTTCATATATTCGAAGAGAAAAGCTTTCATCGATAAAGAGTCCAGGTGATCTAAGCAGATTCCAAGACAAACAGTTACTGCTCGAAAAGTCATAAACAAAAGGTCTGAGGAAGAGACTTCCAAGCACGTAGCTAAAGTGGGAACATTCGCGACGGTTGGGGACGAGGTGGATGGAAGTTTATCGTCTGCCAGTAAGTGCTTCGCGGATTCTCACACCTTTACCCGTTACTACCCTTGACGAGGATTTAGGTGAGCAGGAGGGAGAGACCGTAAAATCACTGTAGATACTTGAAATAATACCCATCTACTCTGCTTTCAACGTTAGCTCCAGTTCATTCTATCAAAATATTGGCGAACAAATGCTTCTTTTCACAACTTTCAAGTTCAATTTTTATATTATTATTATTATTTATACAGAGTTGCAGTTTTATTACATTTACTTTATTCTAGGTGTATATTTCTCTATGAATATAAAATAAATTTTATCAAGTTTGTATGCGTGTATTTAACTGTTAACTATTAATTCGACATTTACAATAAAAAAAGATATATATTTTTAAGAAAATATTAACACCGCATTTAATTACATTGCAAATCAATGAAGAATATTATAAATACTAATAACTACAATAATGGATAAAGTTGTGCAAAGACCGTACGATTAGTACATGTAGACATTATGTTATTTTAGCTGCAATATTAATAATAACTGGCACGCATAAGCATTATTGGCAGCATTTGCGACAAATATTTACACGAATAGATCTTATTACATCTTTTCGTAACCACTTTGCTATACTTCGCTTAATATATATTCCGATTAATTTATTAATTATACGTCATTATGCGATACGATACGAGAAATCAAACGTGACAAATTTCAAATTTCGAATTAAATCACTTTGCATTCACCAAAACGATCCAAAGATTTCGCTAGAAAATTAGAATATCGAAATGGTTCTTCCATTCTCGCTCACAAATCTGAGACTATCATGTCAGTTGCGCAAATGATTTGTTTATCGACGAGCGCAATCATTTTCATTAAGAAGAGATGAAGGATCCTAGATGCCTTCGCTCGCCGTAGGTACATCGTATTTTATAGAAGCTCGGTTGTATATTTGCGCGTATGGTTTTAACTGTCGATGCCGACTTTGCCTATATTTCTTCTCAAGTTTTACTGGCGCTAGGTCGACCGCTCCAAGCCGTAAACGTCAGTACTCGCTAAAATCCCGCATGCCGAGTTGTCAGGTTCCTTCCTCAGCCTTCTCTCTTAGCTACCTTCTTCTTCTTTTCCTTTTCGCCGGCTCTTTTCGCCTTTCTCTTGCCTTCGAGCAACCGATGTCTTCGACGAACATCATGTGAATTTATCCGACGGTTCCCTAGCCGTTGGCGTGGTTGCTGAAGAACGTCACTCTTGTCGAGTACACCGGCGAAGAGGCCTACGAGTGGAGTTTGCAAAGGCAACCACGCTCTCTTCGCATGCTTTAAGAAATAAAGCCTCTTTGCGGATTACATGATGCGGCGAATTATATCGGTCGATGTTTCACCTTGTGCCTTTCTCGCGTTCAACAAGAACCGATTCTATCTCGACAAACTGTGAATCATTG